CAAAACAAAAAAACCCCGCCAAACTAAAGCAATAATTAATGGCAAGACCTATGTGAACAGGTTTGTAGGGATGAAGTCCAACAAACAGTAATTACTGAGGTTATAGCTGAGGTCAGATCAATGAGAGAGAAGCAGTCTAGAAATATATCAGAAGTTAATAAATCTGGGGAGGCTGTGATTAATTATTTTTTATAATAAGTAGCATTTTATTTATAAAGATATTCACGAATTTATTTCAAAAGTAACACAAAGCTTAACAGAGCTCTCAGTCTTTGTCAGCAAGGTACAGTGTTGAAAAGAAATGTGTGACTATTTCTTATTTTTCCACCTGAATATTAATGATTACTTTATTATTATTTTTTAGACAGCAGTCTTCCACATTGCTGGAAAGCCACTTCCTTTTTTGGTTATTCCTTCTAAATTGTATGAAGGAGAATCCTTGATGCAGACTAGCCTGTGTCATACTAAGTGAGGCTCCAGATCCATTAATAAGATAACTGTCATCTGTCATATTAAAATTTTCATAGCTGCTCTGGATTTTTCCAGCATATAACAATGAAAACAATCAAAGTGGAATAACTTCCTTAAATTATGTTGAAACGCTGGCAACATTAATGCAATTTTATCCTACTGAGCACTAAATCATAGAAAAGGTCTGAGACTCAAAACTCTGAATAATGGGCACGTACGGAGCCCCGCAGGCAACATGGGAGGAAAAAAAATTAAGATGAACTTTTGCGAGATCTCGCAAAACTAACTCGGGATCTGATCTCGCAAAATAGACTGCATACTTCGCAGGTCGCATTTGAAGGTCGGGGGTGTCCAAATTCATTGGCTGCATCCTCCTGAGGATGCATTTGTAGGCCGATTACGTCACAGCGACGTGACGAAGGCTGTCCAAATTTGTAGACTCCTCCGAATGCAGCTGACAAATGTGTCCTCCTTTTCCCCGAATTTGAAGGATGGGTTGGGTGTATCCTTTGTGCCCACCATATCCCAGAATTCATAGCCAATTCCAGTTTTCAACAATGCCGGCTGCTACTAAGTTTTTAATAATACTCTTATTACTCTTTCTGGGTCACAAAATAAACCTTTAACATATTTTCAGATGAGAAAGTAGCTGTGTAAACTTCAAATATCTGCTCGGTTTATCAAGATATCACATATTTGCAAAAGTGCTCCGATGTTTTCGGAGACGTCTGTTACCCACCAGCTCGATAGCTGACCGGGAGCTCGAGGGTCACTAGAACCGCCAAGAACATCAAACTCCCGGCACATCATTTTCAGATCAGTCTTTCGCTACTCAGATTAAACGTAATATATAAGTCACTTAGACAACCTAAAAATGTTATTGTTGGGCTTTTTTCAGTGTTTTATTTGTTCGTGAGTAAATCGGTTTGGCTGAGATTAAAGTTATTAGATTAGATTAGATAAAATAAAACTTTATTAATCCCCCGGGTGGGTTCCTCCTTGGTTTTCACACAGCTGAATAAATGTCAAACAGAAAACTGATTAAACAGAAGTGTGAGATGGTCGAGAATTTACGCCAGTGTCCTGTTATATTTTAGATAGCAAGGAGCAGATGGTCGAGTTTATTAAACTCCACCGACAGAGCGGTGACGCAAATCTGAAGGCTAGACCGTCCAATCTCACAGCCGTTTACTTCCGGCCTATCTGACCTTCTGAGGACCCAGCCCACGTAGACCACGAAGGCCGGGTCCTCAGGAGGATGCAGCCCATAAATTTGGACATGACGATTTATCCTTCGTAACCCAACCTATCCCAGAATGCGGCCAAAACATTTGCGAGATCTCGCAAAATTTCAGCTTTTTTTTTTTTTCTCCCATGTCCCTTGCAGGGCTCCGTATTTGGTTGATGTATAAACTAGAGTGAAATTCTGTTTTTCAGATGTGTTTGAGGATTTTGGCAGTTAGTAAGACTTGATTATTGAAATCATTCACCACCATGAACTTTGACCAAATATTCACTAACTAATACATAACAGTTTTCCTCTTTGGTGTATCTGAAATCATTTTGAATAATTTTTATTTATGAATTTTGAGGGTATTTTGTTTTCTGGTTCATTTTCTGTGGCCTGTGAGAACACAGTGTCTGTAGGGATGGGGTCTTGGTGGGCATTTAATGAGGACGTAAGCAGCTGAAAGATATGTAAGACTTCCTCTCTACTTCCTGGTCTCAACCCTCCATAGATATGTATCATGTGGTTTGATATATTAATTCATATCTCTAGCTATTAAAGGTGCACCACCACCGTGGGATGTAACCTGTAACTCCAAACAACCAGGTTTATCTGCCGTGTGAAGCCCACACCATTTTCTGGACATCGTAGACAGCAAGCAGTTAGATGTGACTAAATAATAATAAAAATAATCAAACAAATAAATAATAAAAAGCTGCATTTGATTTAGGGGCATTGCTGTTGTATTCTCACTATTTCAATGTTCTGTCAGGGTACTGCCAGGGTAATATTCTTCTGGTTTTTAAAGCATGATCTATGTTTGAGCCTTGTATAACGTTTGCAATATTGTTTCTTGGTCCTTCTGTTTGCGAGCTTTGCTTCTAGTCCTTGGTTCCTTGATGATGTTAATTCCCTTCTGTCTTCAGTCTGTCCCAGTCTTCCTTTCTGGAACAGACTTCTTTTCATGCTTTGGCTTCTGTCGGTGTCAAGTTCAAGTTTCTAGGTCAGTGTTAGTCATTTCCTTCTTTACTTTGGTGGCCACTTGTCTAATGTCTTCTGTTCTTCTTCCGGTGTCAAATTATTTGTTTCAGTTGTCTTCCCACCTCTTGTGTTTTCCCTTGTTATGCATTGTCTCTGTCTCCTTTTGTCCTTTGTTGTGTCCTTCCTTGCAGTCTGTTCTGCATGAAGACTCATAGATTTACCCAAAAGTTTAATTCGGTTTATCTGGATATAAAGGTTTTAGTAAGAGAAGCATTTTGTCACTGATCCAAGTGACTTCTTCAGTCTTGGATCAGTGATGAAATGTTTCTCCCAGTAAAAACGCTGTGTCCAGATGAACAGAATCAACTTTTTGGGATTTCCTTACCTGGATGATTGAGCATGCATCAACACACTTATGTTTTCCTTGTTTTTCAGTCTGCATTATTCTGTATTATGTTTAAGTTCAGCAATAAAACTGCCTTTTAGTTTACCTCCCTTGTTTCCAAATCCTGCATTTGGGTTTTACTCTGACTCATGTTTTTTGTTTTCTGGACAGGAAAATGAAATACTATTCCACATTATTTCTTTGTGATCTTAAGTTGACATAACCTGTTGTCATTATATAAAATTTTGCAATATGTAGCTTCATGCACACAATTCTGACATTAGTGTTGTTATTACTGTTGTTAAAGTCTTAATTAAATTTTTAATTGTTTTCTTTTAGGTCTCCAACATGTGTTTGTGCTGCATGGAAAGGACTTACACTTGGATATAGAGAAACCTTTTAAACTTGACGAACAGACAGATTTGTTCTGGAAATTTAATTCCAGTAACAATATAGCTAAATGTGTTTTTAATAACAATCCAGTAGTGTTTAACAAATATGCAGGAAGGGCTGAGTTGTTTAGACCAAATTGCTCTTTGAAATTAAAGAATGTTCAACACAATGACAGTGGGGATTATAAAGCAGTAACAATCAGCGGAGAAGAGCAAAAGGTAGTTGAATATAAGGTCATAGTTCAAGGTAGGTTTCTCTTTTCATTGTTTTGAAATGTTCACACATCATAGACGTGTTTTTAATACTTTCACACCTGTTGTTCCCCACATTCAGTGACTCCTGCCAAGCTGACAGTGGAGTCTGTGTCCAAGAGCTCAGACTCCTGTAACCTGACTGTGACCTGCAGCACAGTGGACTTTAACATCAGCAGTAGTTTCAGATGTGATGGTAAAAACTGCTGTCATGCAGGAGAAAAGGATTTGAAGGCCACCAAATATTTTTCCTCTCTAAGTGTTTACCTGCAGCAAGACACCATTTTCTGTAATCACAGCAACCAAGTGAGCTGGAATGAGACTAAGAAGGTGCTCAAATCTTACTGTGAAACAAAGACAGGTGAGAATAACGGTCATAGTAATACATGAAAAACTGAAATAACCACGTTTTAAAGACCTTGCTGTGTGATGTTTGCATGTTCTCCCCATGTCGAACTACTTCTCCAAAAACATGTAGTTTATGGGGTTAACTCAACTGATGATTGAATGTAGGTGTGAACTAAACACCAACTGAATGGTTGTCACAAAAATCTGTATTGCCTTCTTAAAGAACTTGCTTAAGCAAACTGCCACAACCAGTGATCAGTAAAAGATTTACTGCTATAATACTTTTTTCTTCTTCTTTGCAAATAAATCCTAGTACTTAACCAAAATTTCTGTGATATAATTAATTTCATTACAGCTCCCAGTGGAGCCGCCATAATTGCAGCTTCGACTTCTGTTGTCTTCTTGATTCTCTTCATTACCCTTTGTGTCATAATGAAATGTAAGTTCCAGTGGGTTTTTTTGTGTGTAATATGTAGGTAATATTAGGTAATATGTAAAGTACACAAATATTATATTTTGCATTTAAGCACACAGTTTATACAAATACACATTTCTCATATGATTAGGTAATGGCAGGAGCCCAGATGAGGATATTCTTTAGTACAGCAGTAAAGATCTATTTTGTGTATGATCTGTGTGAGTGTGTTTGTAACTGTGTTGATTCACTGTGGAATGGGAGATTTAAGCTGTAAATAAAAAATGAATAACAATATTAAATAAAAATAAATAACAACAAAGCCATTAAAATTATAAAACAAAGACGGGGAAGTGTTCAGAAGGAAATTCTTGAATTAATTTTGTCCCTAGCTGTACCAGTGTACATGTTAAAGTATAGACTTGGAAAACATTGGAACAGTAAACATTGTTTTGTTAGCTTTAGGAGGTCATGTAATGATGGTTACAACAATTCAAAGGCAACCTTGATGTCCACCACCCATTAAAGACAATTGAAATTTGCATTATCTATGTAAAGATGCAATTTGTCTATAAATATATCATAAATATACCTCAAACTACTCAAATATTATAAAATATGATAAATGTCAGTGTTAAATTGATATGTAGTGTATTTTCTGTGACTATGTGGGGGTTACAGTGTGGTCATTACAATAGTATGGCTGCTGTTCTTGTTTGTGTGTGTGTGTGACTATGACAGGTTCCATAGTCATGTTTTTTCACACTTAATGAAAGCTATAAAAATATCAAATTAACTTTGACTGCAAAGAGGGATGAGTCTATTTTTCTCTCTCGCTTTTTTTTTTTTTTAAGCAGACTGATCTGTTTACAGTCTACTGACAGAATAGGGTTTTTATCAAAGTTCTATGTAAATAGCACGAGTTAAGATAGAAAATCGGGAATAAATGTTATTGTATTAGTCCACTATATCACTTCTGTTTGGCTACAGTGAGATCGATTTTTATGTACTAAAAAAATCACCTAGTAGAAGGTGTAAATGTAACACTTTAATAAGGAAATATAATTTATCCTGCAAGAACTTAAATTTCAAGCAAGTCAATCTATATTTTCTATGACTGACTTACAGGTAAAAGTAGAAGAGGGAACCAGGAAAATACTATATATGCGGTTCCTGAGGTAAGCGGAAACTTTTTTGGAAAAACAAACCAAAAAAAAAAAAAAAAACCCAGAAGAAGAACCTCTCCCACTTTGCTAGTCAAACTGTAGGAACAAATGGTTTAATTGTGAGTAATTAAATTATTGAAAACAGATTTGTTTCTGCACAAAATCCTTTAAATTTTAAACCGGACTGAAGTCTGCAACTACACATGAGCAAACACTGTTTCACAAACTACTTTCTGAAATCAACCCCATCTCCTTTCTACACCAACTGTTCCACCTAGTTTGCTGATGCAGATCCAACCTTATGCTTGTTCTTGTCACATTTAGACATCATTGTTTGTGATATTTTCTTGCATTCAGACTTCCTGGCTTATTATTGTATAACACATGTAAGATAAAGTAATCATGACTATGACATTTTCCTAACAAAGACCTTTTGGTTTATTTCCAGGACATCACTCCAGGCCAGACTCAAAATCAGACTCCCTTAGGACATGAATCATGTACTTCTCCAACATCTACGTATGCTTTGGTGGAGTTTCACACTGGACAAAAATCTACTAAGACTGAAAACATCCCCCAGCCAGAGACGGTGTATGCTCAGGTGGACAGAGCTGCAAAGCCCAATTCTACAGTCCAACAACAAACACCCAAACCTGAAGAAAACCAGTAACTGTATTTATAATGATCAACAGAGTTCACTGATGTACCATATGTGTAAAATGTGGATGTTCATGTTACTGTGACCAAGAGAGAAACATGTTAATCAGAAGGCATATGGATCTGTTCACTCACATGTAGCTCACTTTACACATGAGAGGCTGGTTGCTGAGTGATATTGTGGTCTATCTTAAAGGTATTTCTCTTAATTTGAATTAACAGAGCTAGTTAACCCAATTTTTATTCTTTCAAAGTCTTGTTTTTGAGAACATGAAATAGGCACAGAGTTTACAGGCATACCAACAAAGTGGGTAGAGTCAGCTGAGAACCAATGAGTGTATGTGCCTGCAGTTTGTAGTTTGTAATGTTATTACATTAATAACATTACATTACATGTGTATATGTTTCTTTTTATCATATATAATGGTTGTTGCATCAGTAAATGTGTCCGCACATGTATTTCACTGCATCTTGTATGATTGTGCATGTGACAAATAAAGGTTGTTTGTTTGTTGTTGGTTTTGTTTTTGTTTAATTGTACTCTAACTGCCTTGGATTTGTGTATAATAAAACCAAAGCAGTGGTCTTTAACTTTAAAAAATATTCTACAGTCTTGAAAATGTGAAACTATTTATAGCTAGGTTAAAATGGCAGAAGTCTCAAAGAGGAGGAGAATACATGAACTAACACAGTACATGTAAGTCTTAAATGAGATGCCAATCTATTTGAATGCATTTAAACTGCATTTAAACCATTTATAGGCAGATTAGTTAACATCCCCTTTATCACACTGTGCAACACAGCTAATCATACAGATAAATAGACTTTGGTAATAAATTACCAATGGTCATTTTTTTCAAACTTCACAAATGTCACGTGGTTGTGAAAAAACAGTAGCCATATGTGTGTAGTCTGTATGGGCTCGTGTACAGTTGTGGCAGCGACGGAGAAAACAGAAAAGCAATTTTTTTCTGTATTTTTTTGTTTGTCTAGTCAGATTGACTGCAGTAATGATGTGTTTTCTTTGTAGCGGTTGAAACAATAAAGAGATGAACACCGAGTCAGTTTGCACATGCAATAAGGAAGAACATCAAGACGCTTTTAACTACAGTATATAGTGTCTGTCCCCTTTGTCCATACACACTGGCACCTGTATGATAACCCATATCTTCTAAAGGTCACTTTCATGTTTCCCACTTACGATTGGATATCTCTAAATGCACCTGAAAGCATATGTCACATGAAACCAGATGCATGTAACACTAATTATAGGTGTGTGTGTGTGTTTATGTATACTTCTCAATTTCATTTGTTTTTTCACAGATGTGAGAGAAGCCTTTGTATTGTTTTTGATCAGCAGTGGTTTTCTCCTTGAACTCTCCCATGGATGCCATTTATTCCACAGTCTCTTTGTTTTGTCACATCATGAACTCTGACCTTCACTGAGACATGTGAAGCTTGGAGTTCTTTGATGCTGTTCTGGGTTCTTTTTTGTGACATTACTCTTGCTGCGCTTCTTGGAGTAATGTTGGTCGGCCGGTCATTCTTGGGAAACTTTAGCTTTTCTCCATGTGTGTATAATGGCTCTCACTGTGGTTCACCGAGTCTCAAAGTATTAAAAAATGTTTGTAACCCTTTACAAAATGATAGATGCAAGTGACTTTGTTTCTCAGGTGGTTTTTTTTTGTTTGTTTTTTTAGATCGTGGCATGGTTTGTTGCTTTTTGAGATCTTAGCCTGCTTCAGTTTGGCAGACAGGTTCTCTTTAAGTGACTTAAGTGAATCAACAGGTCTGCCAGTAATCAGGCCTGAGTGTGTTTAGTGACACTGAATTTAGTTTTCCAAAAACTGATTAGCATCACTTGGCTACTACTTAACCTCTTAATTCTTAGGCAATAAGAGTGTACTTTTTCACATTGCTATATACTAGATATTTTGAGCTTTGTCCTGATGTAAGTGAATTCATCTTTACAATTTACACCCTGGTAACATCCATGTGACATGACTTTAGATGGAGGAAGTATCATAGTTGTGGGTCTGGTGACACAGTGTTTATGTGTTTTTGAGTTTGGTTAATATTCTTTGATTTAATGTCATTTGTGATTTTACTTCTCTTAATTGTTTTGTGCTTATGTTATAGTTTTTAGTTTTTAGGTTTCTGTCCCTGTGTTTCACAGTTCTTGTGTTTGCATGTTCCATGTTCCCTGTTTGTCTTTCCAGATCAGTCTATCCCCCATGTTTGTCTCTCTCCCTGTTCTCAGTGTTAAGCTTGTGTGTCTCCACATCTCCTTATTTGTCGTGCTTCCTGTTTTATTTTCATAGTCCTTGTCCTGTGTTCAGTGTATTTCGTTTTGCCTCCCCTTTGTCTCGTTATGTCACATTTATCCCACCTGTTCCCCATTCTCTCATTTTCCTGTCTGTGTATTTAAGTCTTCAGTTTTCTCCGGTTTGTTGTCACGTTCTCCGCGTTAGCTCTTGTCATGTCTTCCAAGTTTAAGATCCTTAGTTCTAGTTTCTCTCAGTTTCCCTTACCTTAAGAATGGTTTCTATATAGGATCTTTTCTACTGAGACCACTTACATTTACAGACGTGGACAAAATTGTTGGTACCCTTCAGTCAATGAAAAAAAAACTCATAATGGTCACAGAAATGACTTTAATCTCACAAAAGTAATAATAAATAAAAATTCTATAAATGTTAACCAATGAAAATCAGACATTGCTTTTCAACCATTCTTCAAAAGAATTATTTAAAAAATAAATGCATGAAAAAGGCCTGGACAAAAATGATGGTACCCACAACTTAATATTTTGTTGCACAGCCCTTTGAGGCGATCAGTGAAATCAAATGATTCCTGTAACTGTCAATGAGACTTCTGCACCTCTCAGCAGGTATTTTGGCCCACTCTTCATGAGCAAACTGCTCCAGTTGTTTCCGGTTTGAAGGGCACCTCTTAGCCATTCTTGGGTGTTTCTGTGTGTTTTGGGTCATTGTCCTGTTGCAAGACCCATGACTGTGACAGAGACCAAGCTTTCTGACACTGGCCAGCACATTTCTCTCTAGAATCCCTTGATAGTCTTGAGATTTCCTTGTACCCCGCACAGATTCAATACACTGTGTGCCAGATGCAGCAAAGCAGCCACAGAACATAATAGAGCCCCCTGTTATGTTTCACAGTAGGGATAGTTTTCTTTTATAGATATGCTTCATTTTTCTGTCTGTGAACCTAGAGCTGATGTACCTTGGCAAAAAGTTAAATTTTAGCCTTATTTACTGAGGACGTAGGATGTTCTCCCAGAAGCTTTGCGGCATATTGGTAATGGTAAATGGACTGGTTCTTACATAGCGCTTTTCTACTCTTCTGAGCACTCAAAGCGCTTTACACAACTTGTGCATTCACACAGGGACATTTTCTAAGTGCTTTTCTAACACACACACAGACACACACACACACACTTTGGGGTTAGTATCTTGCCCCAAGGATATTTGGCAACCACCAACCTTCCGATCGATAGATGACCTGCTCTACTGCCTGAGCTACAGCCACCCCAATATTCCAGTCTGGCTTTTTTATGAATTGTTTTCAACAGTGGTGTCCTCCTTGGTTGTCTCCCATGTAGTCCACTTTGGCTCAAACAACAATGGATGGTGTGATCTGACACTGATGGTTCTTGAGCATGAAGTTCACCTTGGATCTCTTTAGAAGTCTTTCTGGGCTCTTTTGTTACCATTTGGATTAGCCGTCTCTTTGATTTGTCAATTTTCCTCTTGTGGCCACGTCCAGGGAGGTTGGCTACAGTCCCATGGATCTTAAATTTTGAAAAGCATGTGCACCTATAGTCACAGGAACATCTAGCTGCTTGGACATTGGTCTTATAGCGTTTACCTTTAACATGCTTGTCTATGATTTCCTTTCTAATCGCCTGAGACAATTCTTTCCTTCACTTCCTCTGGTCCATGTTGAGTGTGGTAGATACTATGTCACCAAACAACCTAGTGATTACCTGGAGCCGTATATATAGGCCCACTGACTGATTACAAGATTGTAGACACCTGTGATGCTAATTAGTGGACATACCTTGGATGATCATGTCTCTTTGGTCACATTATTTTCATTCTTTTCTAGTGGTCCCATCATTTTTGTCCAGGCCTGTTTCATGCATTTACTTTTTAAATAATTCCCTTGAAGCATGGTTGAAATCAGTGTCTGACTTTCATTGGCTAACATTTATAGAATTTTTATTTATTATTACTTTTGTCTGATTAAAGTTATTTCTGTGACCATTGTGAGTTTTTCTTTTATTGACTGAAGGGTACTAACAATTTTGTCCACATCTGCACATTCACTTAGATACAAGGTTAGGGGTTGCCACCTCAGCATGCAGTCAAGTCTTGATAATGACCAACTAATTTTATTCAGGTGTGTTCTAGCAGGGAACCATTTAAAAGTTTCAGGACACCGGCCCTTGAGGACTTGAGTTTCACACCCCTTTTTTAAGAACAAACACCGCACGATACTGAAATGTGTCAGGTTTCTGGCTATTGATTCTTGGGAAATCCCCATATCGGTTTCAAAATGCTATTTGATGCTTATCAGAGATGATCTCTGCTTTTTGTGGATGATGTGGTTCTGTTGGCTTCATTGGGTGATGGCCTCCAGCTCGCCTTGGAACGGTTCGCCTTGGGAATGAGAATCAGCACCTTCAAATCTGAGGCCATGGTCCTCAGCTGGAAAAGGGTGGAGTGCCCACTCCGGGTCAGGGACGAGTTCCTGCCCCAAGTGAAGGAGTTTAAGTATCTCGGGGTCTTGTTCACAAATGACCTTTTCCCACAATTTAATTATGTTATTTTCATACCTTTTCTCTCAGTGCAAAACAAGAGTGCCACTATCTCAAAATAAAAAAAATAAAATAAAATAAAAAATAAATAAATAAAAGATGCAGTAGAGGGTTTATCTTATGTTTTCAAAATTCTGAATTGATTTTCTCTCAAAGTTCTCTCAGAAAAATTTAATTTTACTGCTTTAAATGAGTGGACACTTATTTAAGTAGCTGTGTTCACCCGTTTATAACCCTTTCCTTTTTCATAGGTCTATGTTTCAACACCTCTTGCAGCTTCAGCTTAGTCTGACTGTATGACAGATGTACGACCTACTGCCCTCTGTCTGTGACACTGAAGTAATGTCACACAATCAGCAAGTCTGTACTCTTTCTACCTTATCTCTTTGCCCCCCTCTTCTTTCCTTTTTTTTGATCTGCTCACCATGCAAACAGAAAAAAACAAACAAAACAAAAAACGAACCAAAGAGGTTAAAAAAACAGAAGAACCAATACGGAACCGAAATGAGAAGCTTGAAAGGACCAATAAGTGTGGTTTGACAAAACATTATGCTACCTTCTTCATTGCTCAGTTGAGAGAATCATGACTGGTTCATTTCCTGGTAAAAACCCAAACATGTACTGTAATAGTTCAATTAAATGTAGCACTACAACTGAAAAGTAGACAAACCTGAACC